CATCTCTCCCTGCTCAGCCTCCGAGTAGCTGGGACTACAGCGCGCCAGCGCAGGCCTTGGGACTAATTTTTTTGTTATTGTTTTTTAAGGAATAGCAGCACGGAGTGGTCACTGTGTTAGCCAGGGATGGTCTTCGATCCTCTGACCTCGTTGATCCACCCGCCTCGGCCTCCAAAAGTGGCTGGGAATTACAGCGCTGAGTCACCGTCGCCCTGGCCGAAGAAAATAAATTCTTTATAAATGACTCACGTTTCTCAAGATATCTGTTTAATTAGCAGCACAGATGTACTGACGTTGCTTAAGGGTTTGCTTGCTTAAACGCTTATTTGATATATTCGATTGTATAGCCTCAGGTATCTTGTTAATTTGTCTGAGACAGGCCTGAGGAGTAAGTTCTAACATAACACGGGAACGGTTGACGGTTGTTATGAAAAAAAAATACAATTTTAGAAGAAAAGCTTTTGTGAAAGAGGTTGAGACCGTGTACCTATGGTTAAACATGAAACAATAAACAAAAAACCAAAAAAATACCCTTATTCCTGTACAAATACAAATGGTCATTTGGAGAGAAGGGCGGAGATAAAACCCTGTGGAAGATCTGTGATTTTTTTTGTCCTGTGTTTGCGTCGTTGTGTGCTCTTTATGGTTCTCCTCGTTATGAAGTAAGTTGCCTCCTTCCGCGCGCGGAGTCTGTGGCTATTTCCTCATTGAGTCAAAATATCCATTCAGGGGCTACTGTCTTTATAATTTAATACCTACTTAAAATTTCAGAACTAGCCTTGCCAAAAAAAAAAATTTGTTTTTTTTTTTTTTTTTTTTGAGACGGATCTAGCACTGTCGCCCAGGCTTAGAGTACAGTAGCCTCAATCTAGGCTCACGCCCAAACCTCACCCTCCCGGTTAGTGCATTCTCCTGACTCGGCCTCCGACTAGCTTGATTGCAGGGCATGCCCCACTATGCCCCACATATTTTTGGTGTTTTAAGTAGATGACGGGGTTTTCCCCAGTGGTCAGGATCTGGTTTCCAGACATCACAACTCAGGTGGATCTGCCCGCCTTGGCGCTCCCAAAGTGCTGGGGATTACAGGCGTGGAGCCCGTACGCATGATGGCCCTGTAAAACTCCTATTGAACAAATCTCACCAAAAAAAAAAAAAAAAAAAAAAGAGTAGAGCTAATGCGTCTCTTTCACAAAGATAGTCAAAGGATGTGATCTGATGTGTTAGATTTTCTCTTTCCTGTTCAATATGGGGTTTTGCATCTTAGTTTGTTTGGGCCACTGTAACGAAATATACTAAACTAGGTGACTAACAAGTAACAGGAATTTACTTCTTACAGTTCTAAAGGCTAGGAAGTCTAAGATCAAGGAGACACCATATTCTAGGTCTAATGAGGCTCACTCTCTGCTTCATAGATAGCGTCTTCTTGCAACTTCATATGGTATAGGGGGTGAACAAGCTCCCTCTTTTATAGGGGTACTAATCCCATTCATGAGGACAACATCTTTACGACCTATTCACCTCCCAAAGGCCCCACATCTTCATACCACCACATTGGGGATTATGCTTCAACATAACTATTTGTTTTTTTTGTTTTTGTTTTCAACATAAATATTTAGAGGTAACCATTCAGATCATAGTGGTACCAGTATCCAAAACTGCCACCAAATAGTTTGTTCTAAGTTAATATAATTGCAGAGCATCACTTGAAAAGGGTTTGTCCAATATCAGACACTGTTGAATATCCCATAGATACATATCCATTCAGTGTGCAATTTTGATTCATTAGCTTATTTAGTTATATGTTGTGATGGTAACAATGCTCTATTTGGGCTGGGCACGGTGGCTTACACCTGTAATCCCAGCACTTTGGGAGGCTGAGGCAGGCAGATCACCTGAGGTCAGGAGTTCAAGACCAGCCTGGCCAACATGACGAAACCCTGTCTCTACTAAAAGTACAAAAATTAACTGGGCATGGTGGCGCCTGCCTGTAATCCCAGCTACTCAGGAGGCTGAGGCAGGAGAATTGCTTGAACCCAGGAGGCGGAGCTTGCAGTGAGCCCAGATCACTCCATTGCACTCCAGCCTAGACAACAAGAGTGAGACTCCATCTCAAAAAAACAGAACAAAAACACAACAACCACAAAAAACGATGCTCTATTTGACATTTCCCGTTTTAACTGATGATAAATACTTGTAAGAGTCTAAAAGGTACTAATAGTAATTTCTTTTGCTTTTTGTCCCACATGGTCTGACCAACAAAGAAAACTATGACTGCTGGATTAGCAAATAACTTTAGAGTGTGCTCATTTAAACAACATTTATATAAATAGTGTTAAATTGGCATCTGGAATTGTGTGTATAGTATTTCAGAATCTCACTTAGTAAGTCCTTATCAGGTTATATCTAGTTGTTTTATCTTGAAGTCCTCATTTTGAGAAGCCTGCCATGATACAGGAGGCCACTGGTGTAGCATAGTCACAGACTACTTGCCCAGGCCCATGGGTACTCCCTTCTGCCTACCCCTGACTTTAGCCACACCACAATATTTCTGCTATTTTGAAGGTGACACCCATTTTCTTATTGCCTAGAATGCTATTTGGCACTCTTCCCACTCCCACCCGTAATATTATTTATTCTGTGCTCCTTAGGCTTTTTATTCATATCTTTACTGTAGCTTTTATCATCTTATAATGTGTGTTTTACTGATAATCAAATGAAGTGATTCTTTACACTATTTTTTTTTATGGGTGGACAATACATACATAGGATTCAAAATTCAAAGACCATAAAAAGGTTACAATGAAAAGATCATCCATCCATCCCTGTCTCTAGGACATCCAACTTTCTCTTTCCTCAGAGGCCACCACTGTTCGCAATTTATCCAGTATCCTTCCAAAAATATTTTACATTTATACACACACACAAACACACACAAAATTCTACTGCACATTATCCTGTATCTTGCTTTTTTTTTGCATTTTACAGCAAATTTTGGAGATCATCCCATTATTAGTACCTGGAGAAGCCGTATAGTATACACTGGTTATGAGAAAAGAGAAAGACCTTCTTATATTGTTTTATATTGTTTCACACTCAGTACCTGATTTAAGAAAAAAACAAGGAAGTGAAACCAAAGACAGGCAGCCCGGCGCCAGGCCTAAAACAGGGCCTGGGTCTGTCTGGCCTAAACCTAATAGTTAAAAATCAACTCATAACTTACAAACTGATGTTATTCATAGATTCTAGACATTGTATAGAAGAACATTGTGAAACTCCTTGCCCTGTTCTGTTTCTCTCTAACTATCAGTGCGTGAAACCCTTGTCATGTATCCTCTAGATTGCTCAATCAATCACGACCCTTTCATATGAAATCTTTAGTGTTGTGAGCCCTTAAAAGGGACAGAAATTGTGCACTCAGGGAGCTCAGATTTTAAGGCAGTAGCTTCCTGATGCTCCTTGCTGAATAAAGCCCTTCCTTCTACAACTCAGTGTCTGAGAGGTTTTGTCTGTGGCTGGTCCTGCTACAGTTATAAATAGGGATTCTGAAACCAGACTCTGGTTTTGAATCATGTTTTCACTACTTATCACCTGTTACCAACCTAAGTAACAAACATAGAGGCTCTCTAAAGAAAAATATATTTATTTGGGAATAAAGCATTGTAATGGGAATCCATATGCTATAAAGTATATGTGTATTCAGGGAGGTAAAGGAAGACAAAGGTTTTTAAAGAAAAAAACGAGGAGGGTTACAATAACAAGGGCGACGCCAGTTTAAAGTTGGGAAGGCAGTTGTTGGGCAAATGGTCTTGTAGAAGTATTTTTTTGTGTAAGGTTTTCATGGCCTGTGTTTATGGTTGTGGCTCTTACCGTCTTTTGTGATAGTTTTTGTTATTAGGCATACAAGCATGAGAACCTTCTTTTTATGGCCTTTCTTGGTTCTGTGTGTCAGGATTTTCTTAACATTAGTGATTTCATTTTGATTGACAACTTTCCCATTGTACAATTTCACACTTTAGGCAATTTAGTCAAGCTCTCTGAATCCCCATTTTATGATCTGTAAAACAGGTATAAAAATAGTAATTTATCATAAAGTTGTTATGAAAGCTAAATGATTTAATGTATGTAGAGAGCTTTTTAGGACATTATCTGGCACATAATAAGCAGTAAATAATTACAAAAAGAGCCTTCTTATTTTTTACTAGATAGAATGATGTACTGTAATTTATTGCTAATCAGTCAAATTGCTTCTAGTCTTATACTACAAACAGTACTGCTGAAAACCCCTGTATATGTTATTTTGCATATTTTCAAAAATAGTAAATTCCTAGGGGTGAAATTTCTGATGCAAAGATAGATTCATTTTAAAAATTTTGACAGGTATTACCAAATTTTCCTTTATGAAAGCACTACAAATTTGTGGGGCCACCAGCAGTGATTGAGAATTAAGGTCTGGGAGACTTATTCAGGATTTCCCATACCTATAGCAGAATACTATGACCGGCCCATGGTGAATAGCAGATGCTTAAAAAATGTTAGTAAATTTGATGGCAAATAGTAGACGAAAAACAGTTGGGTTTGGGTGACAGCAAGAAAAACTTTAAAAAATCTACTTTGGCATCTTTTGCTAGCAGGTATTGACAATTAGGAGAAGGCAAGGTGTTAACTTTCACTGATCACTTTTTATTTATTTATTTATTTATTTGAGACAAGACCTGGCTTTATTGCCCAGGCTAGAGTGCAGTGATGCGGATCTCAGCTCACTGCAACCTCCAACTACCAGGCTCAAGCCATCCTCCCACATTAGCCCCCTAAGTAGCTGGGACAACAGGGGCGCGCCACCGCTCCTGGCTAATTTTTCTACTTTTTGCAGAGCCGGGGTTTTGCTATGTTGCCGAAGCTGGTTGCGAACTCCTGGGCTCAAGCGATCAGCACGCCTCCACCTCCCAAAGTGCTTGGTCTACAGGCAAAAGCCTACCGCACCCAGCCCTGTAGTTTCCAATTTAGTCTGAATGATTAAAAAGGCCAGCCTTGTTTCCCTAGTGCTGTTTTTGGCTTTTACCTTGGGTCTTTTGTCGGGCCTTAAAATCATGTCTGGTTGCGCAACTGTGGGAAGGGATTGGGTAAAGCGGGCGCCACCGCAGTTGCTGCGCCAACATCCAGGTATCCCAAACCCACCGCCTGGCCGGGCGGTGTCAAACGCTTCACTGGTCTCATCTTTTTAGAAACCCGTGGATACTCAAGGCATTTCCGGACAACGTGATCCCGGGTGCGCTTGACTTACACGGAACAAGCAAAACGCAAGACACTGCTAAGGACCTAGTTTATGCCCTCAAGGGCCAAGGTCGGACCCTCTATGGTGTTGGCAGCTATATGCACGTACCTCGTGTATATTTCACTTGAAAAGGCTTTCAAAGAGCTTAATTAATTTAGCAGATAGACCAACAAAATGATTTATGATCCCTCGCCCTCAGCGTTCGGAAGAGCGAATCAGCTCTTCTTTAGATAATAGTGAGTGGCTCTGAAAAGAGCCTTTGGGTTTGACAAAGAGCTTGAGAATTTACTTGGAGCTGGTGTACTTGGTGACGGCCTTGGTGCCCTCCGACACCGCGTGCTTGGCTAGCTCCCCCGGAAGCAGCAGGCGCACTGCCGTCTGAATCTCCCTAGAGGTGATAGTAGAGCGCTTGTTGTAATGCGCCAGGCGGGAAGCCTCGCTCGCGATGCGCTCGAAGATGTCGTTGACGAAGGAGTTCATGATCCCCATGGCCTTAGAAGAGATGCCGGTGTCGGGGTGGACCTGCTTCAGCACCTTGTACACGTACACGGAGTAGCTCTCCTTGCGGCTGCGCTTGCGCTTCTTGCCATCCTTCTTCTGGGCCTTGGTCACCGCTTTCTTGGAGCCCTTCTTCGGGGCGGGAGCAGACTTGGCCGGCTCGGGCATGATGAAATAATACTTAGGCATACAAGCATGAGAACCTTCTTTTTATGGCCTTTCTTGGTTCTGTGTGTCAGGATTTTCTTAACATTAGTGATTTCATTTTGATTGACAACTTTCCCATTGTACAATTTCACACTTTAGGCAATTTAGTCAAGCTCTCTGAATCCCCATTTTATGATCTGTAAAACAGGTATAAAAATAGTAATTTATCATAAAGTTGTTATGAAAGCTAAATGATTTAATGTATGTAGAGAGCTTTTTAGGACATTATCTGGCACATAATAAGCAGTAAATAATTACAAAAAGAGCCTTCTTATTTTTTACTAGATAGAATGATGTACTGTAATTTATTGCTAATCAGTCAAATTGCTTCTAGTCTTATACTACAAACAGTACTGCTGAAAACCCCTGTATATGTTATTTTGCATATTTTCAAAAATAGTAAATTCCTAGGGGTGAAATTTCTGATGCAAAGATAGATTCATTTTAAAAATTTTGACAGGTATTACCAAATTTTCCTTTATGAAAGCACTACCAATTTGTGGGGCCACCAGCAGTGATTGAGAATTAAGGTCTGGGAGACTTATTCAGGATTTCCCATACCTATAGCAGAATACTATGACCGGCCCATGGTGAATAGCAGATGCTTAAAAAATGTTAGTAAATTTGATGGCA